AGAAAATCATCCGCCAGAGCAGACGATTTAGCAAACTTAAGCCCGTATAACCCGGTAGTCCGTGAAATCACGAAGGATTTGAAACCAACTCGCATACTAGCCAAGATCGTAATAAGTCTAGCGGTCACCATCACATATTACATAAAATGTCGCATCTCAGATACATCAGAGTTTAAAATATAGTTATTACAAAACGAGTTCAAATAGAAGTAGCGGAAGCCATTTGTTCAAAACCACACACTCACACGTAGTTCAAATACAGTGCCAGCTAATGATCATCTCCAACAAAAGCATCAGACGAGACGTAAGGAATGACCATGCCCATGGTCCTAAGCATCACCCATCGCAGGATAAAGGCAGTTGATACAGTAGCCGTAATACATCTGCCCATCTGCAACAAGTGGGAATAAAACCCTGAGTACGAGAAGGTACTCAGTTAGACTTACCCGACATAACCGAAAATAAAGTGACACCAAGTATTATGAAGGGCTTTATAGTAGGGTAGCTGACTCATTTGCAAAAAGCGGTATTTTTAGTATTTCAAGAACCTTTCCAAAAGCATTATTATCAAGTTAATTATTATTAACCTGTCGACTACATTTGCACCTATACTAGAGCAAACATGTGATTAACAAATAATGATAACCAATGATCATTAACAACTTTCGTAAGGTCATATTCATTATAATTGTCCAAGTGTTCCATCAACATTACTACGATGAAGTCACTCAAGTCAAGTGCTCACTATCCAGGAGCGATGGCGATTCGAATCGATTCCTAACCAGCTGGTGATTTATTCCTTACACAAACCTCACCCGCTAAAGTGAGGTATCGGTCACCGAGTCAACTATCCAGGAATCTCGAGTTTGCTAGAAACCACATGTACCCGGGGGCCGACCGACTGCTCTTTGGTCTTATCTTCGCGCCCCCGTGTCCTACCACACCTGCTCCGGCACAGTGCGCTGCGGGCAATCTACTCGGCCCGAATAATCTCCCAGCTTTACGGTCGAAAGGTACTTTATTCGGCCAGCTAAATGTAATGCATGCGTTTAATATGACCTGGGGCCCAACAACGGTCGGTCCTTAATCGACACAGACGGAAAGCACTACAGTCCAAAACTCTGTAAGTCCCCATCCGGTCTCAACTTCATTTAACATTTAGTTATACCATGACTACATAGTTCTCCAAGCAGATCCAGATAACCACCTATAGCTCACAGGTGACAGGAAATCACCCGACTTCTACCGGTCTAAGCCAGCTAAGCATTGACTCGACTACGGATACTAGGGTAACAAGGATATAGTATAACAAAGGTAGACAAGGTATAATATAGCAACGGTTGCAAACAACTCCTGAACGTAATGCATCAATTAAAGTAAAGCATTTAATTAATAATTGTAAATCGGGGAGAAAAATGCTCCGGGCTTGCCTCTCTCGAAGGAGCTCGGGCGGTGATCGGGGCACTCTGGAAGTTCCTCAACGTCCTCCTCGTCTGCTTCGGTCACTTCCTGCGGCTGCACCTCGAGCTAATCCTCGGGCTCCTCGGGTATGACGACTGGGCTCTCGGTTTGCGATCCTGTATGATGCAGGTGCGTAAATGCTTATGCAAAAGGTGCATCGGATGAAATGAGCACAATGGATATGCTTGAATGCAAGGTAGTCAACATCATCTAAGAACATGTACTACAAGCACATGTCATCTACTACATTCTCTTCTACTACTAATATGCTAAGTCAACACATCTCATTAAATGCTTCAAAGATACACCAAAGCTTCACTAATTTCTTAATCATGCATAAAGCATCATTTGATTAAACCCTAATTAATAATATGTTTGAATAGCAACATCTCTTTTTATAGCTTAGAAAAATCTTAGAAAATTACCATAGCACAGTATTACCCTAAGTAGTCTACTATCAGATTTTTATGGCATTTGGATAAGTGGAATAGCCTACACAAAAATGATAAGCTATGGCATAATTATGAACATGAAAATACTTTGTACTGTGAAAAGTGTCAAACAACAGATGTAATATTTTTCCTATGTTCTACATAGCAAATAATTACTGTACAAAAATTATCACATGTATGTTTTATACAAATTTTGCTCTCTACCAAAAATAACAAAAATCAGCCATTAAAGACACTTGAACTACACCTCATACTCTTTCTATAGGACATGCATGGAATATATTTTTCACAGGAAGTACATTACACAAGAAGAGTAACAAACTTGGAATCATATTTTTTGATCTTTCTATGATTTATTATGACTTTCTCAAGAAAACAACAATTTCAATGATTAAATAAAACTCCACAGAAAAGTATCTCAAGAATGATATGCAATATTTTTATCATGTATATCTGGTGACATGAAGCACAACAAAATTTGTTTCACCATTTTTGGAGCAATATAACTGGAGATATACATTTTACAAGCTTTGTAAATCAATTTCTGAAATCATTTTCTTCAATACTGAAATGCCACCGACCCAAAACCGCTAGGTGCACCGGTCTGATGTACCCAGAAGGGCTGCCAGGAGGGCTGTCAAGCGGGACCACGCAGCCGGCCGGAGTCAGGCAGTCAGCCAGCCACCACGCGCCGCCGGGGTGAGCTGGGTGGCGGTGAGGTCACCATCGAGGGGCTCTCCGCGACGGAGGCGGACCGATGTGCCAAGAACAGGCACGGAGAGGTCTGGAAGGAATCGCCGCGCATGGGGCTCTCGGAGACGCGCTCCACTGGCGGCCATCTCCAGTAGGAGAAGGGCGCGAGAAGGAGGTGGCACAGGAGATTCCCGAGGATAGGGAGCATCTCAAGGAGAGCGAGAAGGAGGCGGCCGGGGCGAGGTCCACGGAGCGGAGTGCTTCGCGCGAGCTCGAGCCACAACTCCGTGAGAGATGGAGGTAGGGAGCATCTCACGGCTAGGGAGGCGAAAGCACGACTACGCGAGGAGGAGGCGAGCTACTGGGCGAGATGGAGGGTTCAACGGCGAGCTAGGACGCCAGGTTGCTTCTTTCGACGAGCGGAGCGGTGGTGGTGGGCGGGCGTGCATCGCTGTTGTTATTGTCGCTGAGATGGCGAGAGAGTGGAGTGGGGAGCGCAGCGGGGTCAGCAGATGAAGGCGAGTGCGTGGGCGAAGGCGTCGGGCATGGCGTGGTGAGTCGCCGCGCGCATGGCGCTTACGCCATGCGGCGTCAGACGTGTGCGGCGCGTGCGTGCAGCGAGCGCAATGAAGGGAGCGAGGGCGGCGTGGAGGCGAGCGAGGCGGCTGGCCGAGCTGGCCGAAAGCAGGCTGGCGGCGGCGCCAAAGAAAGTGAAATGATGATTTTATTTTTTTAATTTCAATTCTTTTTTTCCTTCAAAGCAAATTTTGAGTAATTTCAAAGCAGTTTCAAAAGTTGGTGTAAAAATGAAAGTTGTTCCATTTTTTAAGATCTACAACTTTGCTTTTATGACCAAAGTCCAATTCCAGATAGATTTTGAATTACAAAATAAAATCGATATTAACTCAAAACCCTAATTTTGGAGAATTATTTTTAAAGGCAAAATTTGGTAAAAATTTAAATATGAACTTTGCTCCAGATTGTATCCTAAATATTCAAAAGCTATCTTAGTGATCATAACAAGAATCATGGCATCCAAACATGAGCATGACATTTCACATTGTTTGAAACATGAATGAATTTCAATCACTTAAGCATCACATGAAATGATACTTCATTTCTTTCGAAATGAAATGCATGAATGATGCTTATGCATGAGGTGATGATGATTATGTTCATGGGATGGAATGTTAGTGCATGCTTAACACCGAGGTGTTACAGCGCCAACGTCGAGCTCCGCAACGATGAGCATCCATTCGTCCAAGCAGCAAGGTGACATTGCGCTGCAAGTGCATGTTGCAAGCGTATGTTTCAAGCGTTTCAGAATTTTTTTGCAAATGTTTTATATCGATGTTGCAAAAGTAGGTCGGAATGTCGCATATGTTGCAATGGTTGTACACATATGTTTCAAAGTGTATGTTCCAAATGTTTCATTTGTTTTAGACGTATGTTGCAAGTGTTTCATTTGAATGTTGCAAAGGTAGATCTAGATGTTGCATATACATGCATGTTGCAAGCGCATGTTTCCAGTGTTTCATACGTATGTTGCAAGTGTTTCATCTGGATGTTGCATATGTTTGCAATGGGTACACACGTGTTTTCAAGTTTTTTCTCATGTGTTTGCAAGTGTTTTAGACGTATGTTGCAAGTGTTTCAGCTGTTTCGGACGTATATTGCAAGTGTTTCATCTGAATTTTATAAAAATAGATATAATGTTGCACATGTTGCAATGGGACCCACTTGACACAGTTGCTGGTGTGCCGCCGGCCCCACGTGCTTGCACGTGGGAAGCGGAGGGGGCACGAGCGGTGCCCACGTGCGATCGAGAGGTGTGGGTGACGTCCAGGCGGCACGGGCCCCACGTGGGCGCGACCATGGTATTGTCCGATGGATTAGTGTCTAATCGGCGTCAGTTTCCTCATGTTTTTGAAGCTTATAAGTTCTTGTGTTTTGCCTGTAAATAAGTTCAAAGATCTGCAGGGTTCAATTTTGGATTCCAGAAGTACCTTTCCTTACCCAGTAAATTGGACGAAGCAAACAAAGGCACCATGATGAAGCACACCCACACTCAAACTTATCAGCCCGACTTATTAATCATGACACAATGTTTTTCTCTCACAACAAAACAACATCAATCAATTTATCGGCCGTAAAAATTATTAGCAGCTCCCGGTATAGCGCTGGTCCAACAACATCATTCCGGCAATTGGGCCATAAAAACTCGCCCGGCCCAATCGAACCTCTGACCTATATACCGAACCGTAGCCCAGCTGCTCCGCGGAGCGAACGATCCAGAACCAGAAGCCACCCAGCCAGACACCCATCGGCGTTCGTGAGGCGATCGGAGCATCCCGTCCCGAGGAGGAAGACCGGCCGGCGACGCGGGGGAGAAATATGGGGAAGACGCCGGTGCGGATGAAGGCGGTGGTGTACGCGCTGTCGCCGTTCCAGCAGAAGGTGATGCCGGGGCTGTGGAAGGACATCACCACCAAGATCCACCACAAGGTCACCGAGAACTGGATCTCCGCCACGCTCCTCATCACCCCCGTCGTCGGCACCTACCAGTAAGCCCCCCGCTCCCCTTCGGTGCTCGCTCGCTAGCTGCGTTTCGTCCACCTCACGCAGATCTGGTCGGATCGGGTGCTGCTCCGGCTGGCCGGGGATCCAGTTAGGGTTCGGTCGATTGCTCTTGTGTTAGATTTTTTGTTTCCTTAGATGCGATGGTGGTATGAGTCCTCTGATTTGCTCCGATTTTGGTTCCTGCGTTTGCTGGTTTCGTTGAGGATGAGGATGATGAGTAGGGTGTCGAATTGGTAGCAAAATATTTGTGACTTGGTGTCTGTATGTATTCTGTAATGCATTGATCTGCCCCCGGGTTCGATTGTTGAAATTGGAACTAGGATGCCTAGACACAGGCCATGCTTCGCATAAGTTAGCTCATGTGGCACATATATGTGCAGCTTGCTGATTTCTTCACCATGGTTTTATGTCATGTTTGGTTAGGTAGGTCTTGATGTGAGCCGAGGTGAGAGTATGTGCAGATGAAACATGCTTCCTAAGTGTCTTATAATGTGCTATTTGGTTGATGTATGCTTCCATTTCTGATTACCAACACCTGCAGTTAAGATGAAATGACAAAACATTTAGTTGATAAGTGTTGCCAAGCCAAATGTGTTTTAACTAGTTTGCTTAGGATTGTTTTATCTTGTAGCTTGAAAGTTCAAACAAGTTAAAACTTTTCCATGGTGATCTAATTAATCTATTATGCTTTCTGGACTAAACTTTCAAAGACTTACTTAAAAGGCATTGTTGTCAGTTGTGCGGTTTTCAAGTTTTGCATGTAATTATGGTCCTGATCTTCAGTCTCTACGTGGTCTTGTAGCTTGAAATCTGCTTACTATCTGATTGATCATAAACAAATCTAATGTCCTATTGATCCTGCCCTAATGTTTACCTGTAAGTGTTCTTGTTAAGTCACATAATATTTGTGTTTATGGGCAATAAGGCCACTTATAGAGAATCCAGATTCCATCTTAGGGGTTGCAACCTTTGTGTTCATGGGATTATTAATACTTTGCTTTTTGGGTAAAGTATTGATGGGCAGGTTTATTCTGTTGGATTATTATTCTTAAACCTTTCCAAGGTATTGAAGTAGGGCAAACAACTGACATAATTCAGTTTAATTAAGAACTAGTCCCAATATGCTTTTGTAACTCAATATTCTCCTTGAAGATAAGTACAATGTGTGATTGGGCTCAGAAACCCTCTTTCTGTTTTTGGGTTGTACACGTGTGAGCTTGTCAATCTGGTGTAACACTGATCCTTAATAGTGTAAATCTCATGTCAATTCTGACAGCAGTACAGGTGTAGGCTTGTTTGTTTCGTGACCCAAACTACTTCGACCATCAACTCATGTTGTAAATTAGTCACAATACTGATGATCATTAGGATAATAATCTCACACCAATTCTTGAAAGTGGAAGCATAATTTCCTGTAAAATATGTATCCCCAAGCTCGATTTAATATCTGTGACTGTTTATGCTGTTCTATTTGGTTCCCCACTTAAAAAAATACTACTTTTCACAAAATACAGTTTGAATAGTTGAATATACTTTAGTCCTAGGGAAACAGAAAATTTTGAACTATTGATCTTCCTAGTTAGGTTGCATAATAATTCACATAATGACATTCATGATTCTGATTTGTTTCAATGCGTCTATGCAGATACGCCATGTGGTATAAAGAGCAGGAGAAGCTTTCCCACAGATACTAAATTTGATGTCCTCCAAGTTGACTGCGACAGCAGTTGGAGTTTTCATGATGGGGTTTATAATCCTCCAGTGATGATTTAACATTTGTTGGATCAATTTTAGTTCGGTGCCTTTTCATCTTTCCATATGCATATACAGTATCTGTGCCTGGCAAACTTATTTTGAGGCTTGCTAAATATGGATCTTTTGTCTCAGAAGTTGTGAAATAAAGCAAATTAACTGGCGGTTGCTTTTGTTTTTGTGTTTATAAGAATTGGTAATTGATTTTGTTTTGTTTTGTCAGTTGTTTCACTTTTTGCGCTGATGAGATCAGCGATCAATGCCACCAGCGCATTGGACCATTGCGGCGTTGCCACTTAACCTTGTACAGTATTTGGTTTACAATGTACTAGGCTGTAAAATCGTATTTTTGGATCATCGCTGGGAATGTCGTGATGAAAGCCATCTGTGAACTTAAACCTAAGGAGAAGATTGGTTTAACGGTTAATATACCTAATTGTGAGATTGGTTTTAACGCTTTCGTCACAATAGTCTGGTCAGAGGACATCAGGTCTAATTTTGAAAAAAAAGGGAGCAAAATCATAAATTTACAAAATACAACTAGACTCGACGTAATTTGGCAGATATTTCCGTTATCTAGAGCGACACTAAAGTACGTTTCGAACTTCCGACTCCCCATTCTGCTTTTTGTTCAGATCTTGTGTATCTTATAATGACAATTGATCAATTGACAAAAAATAGTTGCCATTGACTATGCTTAGTAAACCAGCTCAAGCTATAAATTGGGGGTTACCGGATAAATATATGACTTTTTTTTTCTAGCATCTTAGAGATGAGTAAGGTGCTGTTTGGATGTTTGGAAAAAGTATACACTTGTAAGATGATTACACCTGTAAATTATAAATTATTTGGTTGGTTCTACGGATTAATAAGCCTTACATTAGTCTTTGGTTGGTTTTGAGAGGGTGATAAAGCCGACCAACCAAGTTTGCAAGCTGATTTGCACAAGAAACCCATGCCATGATTATACACTTGTAAAATGGTGTTTGGGAACCAAATTCATTTCAGACCTTGCCAACAGTCACGTTAAACACAATTTGGCAAGAGAAATGGTCATTGCTTCAAGCAAAAGAATCTACTCATTGCAAGAATCTACTATAACACAAGAACAAAAGGCATGAATATATACCCTTCAGTAACATAATATGCCATAACCACTTGAACCTCATTACAAGATCATCCAAGAAACTACATTTGTAGTACAAATAGAACAGTAAACATGGCTGCCTCAAATCAAACTGAAGGTCCGGATTATAATATGATGGAAACACAGTGCCTCTGAAACGTAGATCAGGGGTAAGCATTTTATTTAGATGAGGAAAACTGTTGATGTACCTCGTCCTAAGTCATCATTCGGTCCATGGCACTGCAGTGGCTTGGACGCCGGTGTCGTGGCAGCTCGGCGCAGTGGAGTCCAGCGTAGTGGTGGCGAGGTCCAGTGGCGATGCAGAGGCGACGGTGAGGTTGGTGACGGTGAAGTCAGTGGGTCTTCCCATCGCTGGCAGCACCCTCTTTAGATCGGGTTAGGTTTTCTGTTGATGGGTCACGGCGGCTCCGATCAACCTCGTAGTTAGAGCCCTGATCCCCACCTCTCTTTATAGTGCTGTGCGACAGGGGCCCACCAACCATATTAGGGTTGGACGCCCCCGATCAGGGCGCAAATCCAAGGGCCTAATAGGCCGTTGGTGGAGATCAACTAACATTCTCTCTCTTGATCTCACTACCATCTTTCAATTTCACATCATTTACTTTTGTTCATTCCATTACAGATTAGCGCATAGAGCATGTTTCATCGTCACGGACAATTGCCAATAGATTTAACAGCTACAACACTTCACTCTGTTCTGAAATAGATACTTAACTTTGTGCCTTCTTTTGTCCAGGAATTATAGGCTTTCCCTTAAACCCATGCTAGCTACATGTTCTCTGAACACGTTGGGTGGTAAGCCTTTTGTACTTATATGCTCAAGACTTATGACATGATCCCGGACTTTATCTTTCACAACATAATACTTTATGTCAATGTGTTTGGCAGCACCACTTGACTTATTGTTGTGAGCATACTGTACTGTCAGATTATTATCTCAGTATAACTTAAGTGGTCTATAGATATCGTCAACCACCTTCAAACCGGGTATGAACTTCTTTAGCCAGTTCACCTGCCCCGTTACCTTATAACACGCTACAAACTCGGCATACATTGTGGACGATGTAGTGACGGTTTGCTTTGAGCTTTTCCATGAAATAGCTCCCTCTGCGAGAGTGAATACACATCCAGACGTGGATTTTTTATCATCTCCCGCATAATCAGAATCTGAATATCCCACTATATGGAGTGAATCAGATCTTCTATACGTCATCATGAGGCTTTTCGTTCCTTGCAAATAACGCAAGACTTTCTTTACTAATTTCCAGTGTTCTGTTCCAGGATTGCTCTAGAATCTGTCAAGTAACCCGGTAATAAATGCCAAGTTAGGGCGCGTACATACTTGAGCATATTGCAAGCTTCCGACAGCTGAAGGACATGGAACCATTTCAATTTGATCGATCTCATACTGGTTCCTGGGGTATTGAAAATTTCCATATCTGTCGCCCTTGACTATAGGAGTAGGTGAGGGACTACATTTGTGCATATTGAATTTCTTTAAGATCTTTTCTATGTATGCCTTTTGTGACAGTCCTAATACCCCTTTACTTCTATCTCGGTGAATCTCGATCCCTAGAATGAACGAAACTTCATCAAGATCTTTCATATCAAATTTTGAGGACAAAAACTTCTTTGTCTCCGGTAGTAGACTGACATCACTACTAGCAAGTAAGATATCATCCATATACAGGATAAGAAAGATAAACTTCCCATTCGTAAACTTTGCATAGACATAATTGTCCTCTACATTCTCTTTAAACCCAAAATTCCTTATTGTCTGATCAAACTTCAAGTACCACTGTCTAAAAACTTGTTTTAATCCATAAATAGATTTCTTTAGGCGGCATCCCATTCATTCTTTTCCTTCCATGATAAAACCTTTCGGTTGTGTCATGTAAATATTTTTCTCCAAGTCCCCGTTGAGAAATGTCGTCTTTACATCCATCTGATGTAATTCTAAATCGTAATGTGCCACTAATGTCATTATGATACCGAAGGAATCCTTACATGAGACTGAAGAAAATGCCTCATTGTAATCAATCCTTTCTCTTTGCGTAAAGCCTTTTGCTACAAATCGCGCTTTATATCTTTCTATATTTCCTTGAGAGTCAAATTTTGTTTTGTAGACCCATTTACAGCCTAGTGTTTTTGCTCCTTTAGGAATTATTTCCATGTCCCAAACTTTATTGGCATTCATGGATTTTATTTCATCTTCCATGGCCTCAAGCCACTTTGATGAATGATCACTTCTCATGGCTTCTTCAAATGAGGTGGGATCATCCTCCATTTGAAATTCCTCAATGTTGTATACTTTATAGTCAGCAGAAATAGCTGATTTTCTAACTCTTTGAGACCTTCTAGGGGCCTCCACATTTGGCACATCTTCTGTTTGAGGCTGTTGTTGCTCCCCCTCATGTGTGGCAATAGGTTCTATAGGATCCTGAAGAATAGATTCCTTATCGTCATTCATTGTTGCCATAAGCGGAATAACAACAGGTGCTGGCACCACAGTATCTTGCACTGTTGGTGCAGCGACAGCAGGTAGTGAGAAAATGGCTCATGAATTATCAGAGTGGGCGCATACACCCGCTTCTCTTTAAGGTCAATTTCTCGAGCTATCATGCTCCCCCTCATCATTTCATCCTCTAGGAAGACAGCGTGTCTTGTTTTCACAAACTTTGTATGTCTGTCTGGACAGTAGAAACGAAAACCTTTTGACTTTTCTGGGTAGCCAATGAAATGGCAACTTACTGTTTTGGGATCTAGCTTTCCAATGTTTGGGTTAAATACTTTAGCCTCAGCAGGACTCCCCCACACACGTAAGTGGTTTAGTGAGGGTACTCTTCCTATCCACAACTCATACGGTGTTTTGGGCACCGACTTACTTGGTACTCTATTGAGAATATGAATGACGGTTTTTAACGCCTCCATCCACAGGCTCAATGGTAAGGTGGAGTAACTTATCATACTGCGCACCATATCCATCAGGGTACGATTGCGTCTTTCAGCTACTCCATTCTACTGAGGTTCGCCCGGTGTAGAATACTGGGCTACTATGTCATTCTCCTGTAAGAACCTTGCAAAAGGTCCAGAAACTTGGCCATATGGGGTATGCCAACCGTAGTACTCCCCCCACGGTCGGACCTGATTATCTTAATCTTTAAATTGTATTGGTTTTCAACTTCTGCCTTAAATATCTAAAATTTATCCAATGCTTCTGTTCTTTATTTGATTGGATAAATGTAGCCATAACGGGATTAATCATCTGTGAATGTTATGAACGAATCATAACCATCCACACTCTTTATAGGAAACGGACCACATATGTCTGTGTGAATAATCTGTAAAATTCCTACACTTCATTTGACATCTTTCTTAATTTTCTTTACATACTTTCCTTTTACACATTCTCTGCATTGTTCTAAATCTGAGAACTCTAATAGAGGAAGAATATCATTCTTAACTAGTCTTTCTATTCTCCCCCTCGAAATATGGCCTAAATGACAGTGCCATATTTTCGACGACGCATCGTGAGCTCTCTTTCATTTTCTGTTTACATCCGCAGACGAGGATACATTCTCATTGTCGCACGCAATGTTCACATACAACATTCACATCATCACGTAGTGATAACAAATAGTATGTGCTCTCTTATACCACCATTTTCAGAGTACCTTTCTATCACCAGCTGCTTTATCAGCTGGGTAGCATATGTCTTTAAAGAGCCAGTGAACTAACTTTTTATTCTATCGAGGTATTCGGTGACCGTCTCACACTCTGGAATTGAGCCCACAA